ACGGGGGAGCCTGCTTGTGCTTGAATTCAGCACCTTTGCCTAAGGTTTCACAGGGAGGGAGACTCACCCCGACCTTCCAGGCTGTCCAGGAAGAAGACGGGACTGTCCAGAGATGGCGTGGACATGCCCTGGACCCCACGACTTTTCTGCTCAGCCCTGCTCCCTCCCCGCAAGCCTCCTGCCTGCAGAGCTGAGCCTGGAGTCGGACTCCCAGAACCATTGTTTTATCATGCGGTCCCTAGACCAGCAGCACCAGCATCACTGGAACTTGCTAGAAATGTACTCCTTGGCCATCACAGACCTGTTGAATCAGAAACTCTGAGAGGGGCAGCAATTGGGGCTCCCCATGAGGTTGTTTCCACATTACTTATAATCTCTTCCAGGGTTTGCTTTTCCCCCATCACAGAAAACACTGAGAAGATCTATGAATCTCACAGACTTACATTTTCCACCAGATTCGGTGGTTTTACTTTCTGTGTTCATTCTAAGCATGAAGGTATCTTGAAGCAAGAAGCCTGACTGCCCTTGCCCGTGGCTCTGGGAAGTGCCCCACCCCCGCGAGGAGAGCCCCCTCAGGAAACACGTTGGGTGAGGCCGTTGTGGGTGGGTCAACACAAGGTGTGAGCAAGTGTGCGAGTGTGTGCTGTGGGTGTGCAGGCGTGTTTGAGTGAGTGTGTTACTAAGAGTATGTGCTTGTGTATGTGAGTGTGTGCCAGTGTGAGTGCGCATTTGTGGGTGTGTTTGTATGGGCATATGTTATGGATTGTACTGTGTCCCGCAGAAATTTGTGTCAACTTGGCTAGGCCATGATTCCCAGCATTGTGTGGTTGCCTACCATTTTGTGGTCTGATGTGACTCTCCTGCGTTTTGTAAATCCTACCTCTATGATGTTAATGAGGCAGGATTAGAGGCAGTTATGTTACTGAGGCAGGACTCAGTCTACAGGATTAGTCTGCATCTTGAGTCAATCTCTTTTGAGATTGAGAAGTGAGCAGAGAGAATAGGGACCTCATACCACCAAGAAAGAACCACCGGAAGCGGAGTGTGTCCTTTGGACCCGGGGACCCTGCGCTGAAAAGCTCCTAGACCAGGGGAAGATTGATGACAAGGACCTTCCCCCAGAACTGACAGGGAAAGCCTTCCCCTGGAGCTGTGCCCTGAATTTGGACTTCTGGCCTCCTAGACTGTGAGAGAATAAATTTGTTTGTTAAAGCCATCCGCTTGTGGTATATCTGTTATAGCAGCACTAGATGACTAAGACAGCATGTAAGCTTGTATGTACGAACGTGAGTGCATGTTTGTGTATGTGAGTGTCTGTGTATGCTTCCACTGCAATACACCCCCACCCCGGGGGTGTACAAACGTGTGACTCAGGGCTACGGCACCCCCAAGCCCAGCCGGGCTCCTGTCTGGGCTGTTTTACAGCAAAGTTCATGGTCTGTGGTTACCATTCACCAAAATCAAACTGAACACCAAGAAATATGAAAGAAATGGACTCTAAAACCTCTTCTGGGCCGAAAAAAAGTGTCTCTGAGTTAAACGATGTCCCTCAGGAATCCAAGGGGCCTGCTTCCCTCCAAGCCCACCCGGGCAGGAGTGTCCAGGAGCTGGGCATGGGTACAGCCGTGGGGCCACAGCCCTCCCCCCTCTCCTGTCCCTCCCGTGTGCATGGCCCCTGGGAAGGCCCAGCCTGTCCACACACTCTCTGTCAGAGCCCACCCTCTGAGAACCAAACTGGCCCCTCCAGGGAGGTGGCACTACCCTGAGAGGGAGGCTTGAGTCAGAGGCCAGAGTCAGGAGCATCCATCCTGTCTCTGAGGCCTTCCTTGCCCGAGGTCACGGCCTTCTCCCTCTCTAAGGAATCTGGAGCTATTCTGGAGCCTGTGATCCCCTAGGGACCCTGGCCAAGGCAGGCAGGACAGTCCCGGGTAGGAGGAACGTCATCCACGTTCCCGCGGGCACTGGGCAGCTGGTTTCCCAGCACAGACAGGGCGTCTTCTGGACTGTGGCTTGTAAACCTGCCCTGCCAGCCTTGGAGCCCACAGGGGCGAATGGGGCGTTTAAAACCCAGGGATTGCTCCGGAAGTCAGCCCACCCGGCCGCCTGGGAGCAGGCAGCGGTGTGGGTAGCTGCTTCTCCCTTTCTTCAGGCAGTGGTCGGGAGTCCCCTGGCCCACGCCTGGCCTCCGCTGCTGTGCGTTTGCTACTTTGTTATTTTAGACCATGGAACGCATGTCCAAAGAGACAGTGGGATGGCAGCGGCCTTCATCCAACCTTTTGGTCCTGTTCCATTGCTGCCTCCCCCACCAAGAACCGCCCCCACCCCTGCACCAGTCCTAAGTCCCTTGCTTTCCTTCTGACTTGGTAGTATTGCCTCTTACTGCAGTCATCATGCATTTCAAATAATTTGCGCTGGGCTGCTAATCTGAGGAGCCCTGGTGGCACAGTGGTTAAGCGCATGGCTGCTAACCGAAGGGTCAGGGTTCGAATCCACCAGCTGTTCCTTGGAAACCCTATGGGGCAGTTCTAGTCTGTTCTATAGGGTTGCTGTGAGTCAGAATCAAACTGACTGCAATGAATTTCGTTTTTTTTTTTTTTGGTTTTGCCAATCTAAAGGTTGGTGGTTTGAGCCCACCCAGTGGTGCCATGGAAGAAAGGCCTGGAGATCTGTTTCTATAAATATCACAGCCAAGAAAACCCTATGGAGTAGTTCTACTCTGTAGCACATGGGGTCGCTATATGTTGGAATCACAACAGGTTTGGTTTTGGTTTACTTTGTTTTACTTGTAACCATAGGAAAAGGATGTCATGTCACACGCCATCTTTTGCAATTTCCTTTTTCTCGTGCAACATATTGCTAAGATGCACCATATGCTTGCGTGTCACTGTTGTTCAACTTATTTTGAGGGCTGTATACTATTCCATGGTATGGAGACGTCAGAGCTGGTTCATTTGGGTTGTTTGGGGGCTTCTGTGATTGTGAACAGTACTGCTACGAGCACGCTTATACACGCCTCCTGTTGTAAATTGAAAGTATACTTAGGAGTAGAATTGTGAGGTCATGGAGTCTAAACGTGAAAGCACACATTGAGGGGATAACGTCACAATATTTGCGCCAGTTTACACCCCCCTAGAAGTGTGTAGGAGATGCTATGAATTTTTATGCTAACACTTGGTATGACCAGATGTTAACATTTTGCAGAACGAATGAGTAGAGTGGTGCTATTGTACTTCTGCTTGTCTTGCCCCTGACAGCTCATGCTTTCCACTTCTCTCTCCTTTATTGTCACTTCTGCTGTGTGCAATGTCCGTCTGTGGCTTTTGCTCATTTTTCCATTGGGATTATTGTAGTTCTCTGTGTATTCTCGATACTGACCTTTTCCCGTTGCATGTATTGTACATATTTTCTCTCTGTCGAAAATTTGTCTTTTGACTTCCTCTAAAGTGTCCTTTGATGAGCAGATGTTCTTCATTGTAACATGATCGAGCATGTCAATATTTTCCTTTCCAGGGGTACTGAATGAGTTCCATTTCCCTCTCCAGATTCACTGCCACTTCTGTACCCCACTCAATGCCCCAATGTCATAAGGCTACATTGCACCTCAACTCCCTTGACCTCGGATTTTGGTGGCTTCATCCACAGGGAGGTGCCAAGAGGAGAGTGGAGAGTGGGAGCAGGGTCGGACTGGGGTATGGACTCGCCTGGTTCCTTCTACCGGCTCGCTGAGGGTTGGGTCAGTGAGTTCCTCCACCAAACCCTAAGCTCTTGTCTGGGCCTCTCCCCAGAGCTCTCTCTTTGGTTCTGGCCAGTGTTCCTCCCTGGTCCCTGGTGCTACCCCATGGTGCTGTATCCTACACCGGGTTCCTAAAATCTACCTGTGCCTCTTTAAGTCATCTCTTCGTAAAATTCTCCACAAAATTTCCATTCTCAGTGTGCTTCCTATTTCTCACCGGGACCCTGACTGGTACAGCCCTTTGTGTGCTATGTTTATGAAATATTTTCCAACCCTGAGGTCGACGAGAGCCACTGCAGGTTTTCTACGTAGAATCTTATGTTTTGTTTTTGACATTTAATTCTTTAATCCACAGGAGATGATTTCATCTTCCATATGAATAACCGTCTTCTCCTGCTCCATTGATGGAGCAGTTTCTCCTTTCCCTGCTGACCTGCTGTGCCATCTGCTCAGTACCAGCATTCCATCCTCGCATAAGTCCGCTCCTGGCTTCTCTATCCAACTCCAGTGCCCATTTTGCTGAACCACGCAACACCTTCACATCACCTCATGTGATGGTTAATATTGTGTGTCAGCTTGGCTGGGTCATGATTTGCAGTGTTTGTATGTGATCACTCCCATGATTGAATCTGCTGTGAGTAGCCAATCAATTGAAAGGGAGTTTCCTTGAGGGTGTGGCCTGCATCTGAATATAAGCAGACGTTCTGGCTTTTTGCTCATTCTGGATCCTGTGGCTGCCTCTTGTTCATCTGGCCTCTGGTTCTTGGGGCTTGAGCTATCAGTGTATCTGCCAGTCTTGTAATTCATCGATCTTCACAGCCTATGAGTGAAGTCCTGAGGCTACATGAATTGGGAGTAGCCTCTATCCTAATCCATGGACTTGGGATGTTCCAGCCTCTACAATCGCATGAGCTGTTTCTTTGATATAAATCTCTCTACATATACATTTATGCGCTTTACTGGTTTTTCTTCTCTAAAGAACCCTGCCTAAGACACCTCAATTACTACAACTTCATAGTGATCTCAACATGTAGCCAGGACATCCCTCTCCACTTCAGAAGTGTCCTGGCTATTCCTGGTCCTTTACTCTTCTGTATACATTTTAGAATGACCTCATCAAGTTCCATAAAATACCCTGTTGGGAGTTTGATCAGAAATGCATTGAATCTCTGCATCCATTTGGGGAGAATTTTCATCTTATAACATGTCCGTATCCACTAACATGGTATGCCTCTCCATGTATTTATGTCTTTTAAAAGTATATCCTATGCTCCCTTTGGCAGCACATATACTGAAATTGGAATGAAACAGAGAAGATTAGCAAGGCCCCCACACAAGGATGGCTTGCAAATTCATGAAGCATTCCATATTTCTGAATCATTGTTTAGGCAGCATCGACTTCTGTTTATGGTGATGGAACATGATGCCCAACATGATTAATGTAATTGATGTCACTAAATTGTACACGTGTAAAATGCTAAGTTGGCATGTTATATATATTCTTACAACAATAAAATGTATACAAAAATATATCTTAATGAAGTTTTGTATTTTCTCTGTAGAGACCTTATGTATCTTTTGTTAGATTTATTGTCAAATACTTGATGTTCTATTGTAAATGTGTTTTCTCTTTTTTGGGGGGCGGTGGTTGTTGGCTGTTGGTATACAGCAATCTAACTACCATTTGTATATTTATATCTAATGGCTTCTTCACTAAAATCTCCTATTATTTATAATAATGTATCTGTGGATTCTTTGGGGTTTTGAATGTAAAAAATCATGTCATCTGCAAATAATGACAGCTTTGCTTTCTCTCTTTTCAATCCTTGTGTGGTGTCATACCAAACACTAGACTCATTTGTAGGTTCTGGGGTAGAATTTACAGGGTGGCAGGTTTCAAATTCGTACAAGACAGACCTTTCCAGCAATTAAATAAAGCAGCACAAAGCAGATGGGACTGTATCATGGTTATCTAGTACTATTATAACAGAAATAACACCAGTGGATGGCTTTAACAAAGAGGAATTTATTCTCTCACAGTTTAGGAGGCTAGAAGTTCAAATTCAGGGTGCCCGCTCCAGGGGAAGGAAAGCTTTCTCTCTCTGCGGGCTCTAGGGGAAGGTCCTTGTCATCGGTCTTCCCCAGTTGAGGAGCTTCTCAGCTCTGGGACCCCAGGTCCAAAGGACGAGCTCCATTCCCGGCGCTACTTTCTTGGTGGTATGAGGTCCCCATGTCTCTCTGCTCATTTCTCTCTTTTATATCTCAAAAGAGATTGACTTAAGACACAACCTAATCATGTAGATTGAGTCCTGCCTCTTTAACACAACTGCCTCTAGTCCCACATCATAGAGGTAGGATTTACAACACATAGCAAAATCACATCAGATGACAAAATGGTGGACAATCACACAATACTGGGAATTGTGGCCTAGCCAAGTGGACACACGTTTTCAGGGGACACAATTCAATCCATTAACAGACTGCCTCCTTAAGTTGTGTTTTCCTCATGAAAGAGACACAGAAAAGGTCAGAATGCGACATTTCTTGGTAGAGGGGAGACTGGGGCACTTGGTGAGGCAGGTCTAGATGACGCCCAAGTGCCCTCTAATGTTGAGATTTTGAGATCGCAGTTTCCTTTATGTCCTCAAGGGCCTTGACCTGGTGGCGATGGTTCTCAGAGTCTAATATCCAGAAGCTGGAAGCATCTAGGGCAGCCTGCCTTACGGTCTGTCTCGTAAGTTCCTGGCTCCCCAAAGAGCAGCGTGCACTGGAGGGCTCTATAGCCTCTCCCTGCCCCAGAGTCTTGAACCTGGAGGCCCACCCAGGGGCACATACTCCCTGGGGCATGTGGCATATGCTCCCCTTTCCTGTCCTTCACCCTCAGCATGGAGGCCAGGCTCTCAGCTTGTCCTCCACCAATGTGCCCCTGCCCAGCAGCCACTCCCCAGACTGGCATATCATCAGAACCACACAGAACCATGTTCTGCAGATTCTGACTCCGAAGGGTCTTGGGCAGAGCCCTGTACTCTGTATTTCTAAAGGCAGTGCTCAGAGTGGTTCTGACCATCAGGGTTCAGCCCCTGCTGGAGGTCATCCTGTGAGCTAATCACACCAATGAGCACTGTGGGACATGTTGGCTGGGGTCCTAGAGGGCCACATGTCCATTATTCACTTGGAGATGAATTTACAGTTCATGCCCCTTAAGGTGAGGGTGGATGGGGCAAAGCCACTATCCTGTGTTAGAAGTGGGAAGGCTGAGGCTGGGAGGCTCCACCTGGATATGAGGGGAGATGTTTCCCCCCATTTATTAGGGAATTCCGGAGCAAGTATTCCTCCCCCACTGCCACCTAAGCCCAAGAGTACTTTCCCTCCACTCCTATGTCGTCTCAGCGGGTACAGGCATCCTTCCCACCCCCTTTGTCTGCCCCTTGACCCTGTCTGACCACCCTGGAAGACGTTCACATTCACAAATAGCTTATTTGTGAGAGAAGCCTGAATACAAGATTCTGTAAGGACTCTGTGTTCTTCTTCCAGAGTTCCCCGGTGGCACAAACAGTTGAGAGCTCGGCTGCTAACCAAAAGGTTGGAGGTTTGAACCCACCCAGAGGCACCTTGGAAGAAAGACCTGGTGATCTACTTTTGAAAAATCGGCCATTGAAAACCCACAGAACACAGTTCTACTCTGACGCACATGGGGTCACCATGAATTGGAGTCAACTGAACAGCAACTGCTTTGGGCTTTGTTTCCACTTACAGCACTTGCTTCATCACAACCACACCACAATGGGATAACTAACTGCACGTCCTATCATTGGGGTCAGGACGCTTAGGAATGACCAGTACTGCCATCCGCCAGCCAAGAGGAAAGCAAGGAAGGGGAAAACAGAGGAGCTCCATCCATGCCCAGCAGAGCTCGGTCTTCAGACACTTCTTGGCCAAGGCCATGGTTCACGTGGCTACATTTTTCTGTATATTATGCAGCTCCCACACTATGTCTTAGGTCTGGCTGCCTGGCCTGGTTCCCTTGTCCTTTTACCGTAAATGAAATTAAGACAAGATAAAGGTGTATATTAGGGAGTCTTTGCATGGACTTGTCAAGTGGCCTGGTGAAAATGTTCTGCTGCTGGAAATAGCTGACTCGTGCTCAGCCTCAAGGCTGAGAGAGAAAATCAGCTTCAGACTTTGAAAACATCTCCTAGGGCCACCACCACGAGGCAGACGGAGCCTGAGCTGGTGACTGAACGGGAGTCAGCTGGAAGGTATGCCAGGTCTTGTCGGCCTCCAGACTATGAAAGGAGCTGGCTCCACAAGGTCGGTGACACGTCCTAGCCTACCTGGGCGTGTGCTCCTTCCTTCCCTTCTCCATCCTTCTTGCAAAAGCCCCTGAGGGAGGCTGAAGGAGAGAGAAGGGATGGGCTCGGCAGGAAAACAGGAAAAGGGGAAGCAGATGGAGGAGCTGGGTGAGGGCTCGGAGGACAGAGGGGCCGGTGGAGTGGGGAGGGGAGGAAGGAAAAGGGTGAGTGGGGAGGGGCTGGGGAAGCAGAGTGCAGCCACAGAGCCATGAAACCACGGGCAGGCAAGGGCATCCGTTGTGGGTTGAATTGTGTCCCCAAAATATGTCTTGAAGTCCTGGCCTCTGTACCTGTGGATGTGATCCTGTTTGGAAATAAGGTTTTCTCTGTTATATGAATGAGGCCACACGGGAATAGGGTGCATCCTAAACTTAATCCCTTCTGAGTTATAAGAAGAGCAGAATAGACACAGACAGACAGACAGACAGACACACACACACACACACACACACACACACACACACGGGAAGAGGAAGGCAGCTGATGGAGGCAGATGCATCTACAAGCCCAGGAATGCCAAGGATTGCTGGTGCGGTGGTTAAAGCGCTCAGCTGCTAACCAAAAGGTCGGCTATTGGAACCCACCAGCTGCTCCGCGGGACAAAGATGTGGCCGTCTGCTGCTGTAAAGATTAAAACCCACTGCTGTAGAGTTGATTCTCATTCATATAGACCCTATAGGGTTTCCAAGGCTGTAAATCTTTGTGGAAGCAGACTGCCACATCTTTCTCCCATGGGGCAGCTGGTGGGTTCGAATCACTGACCTTTTGGTTAACAGCCGACCGCTTTACCCACTGCACCACTAGGGCTCAGGAAAACCTGTGGGGCAGTTCTACTCTGTCTTATAAGGTCGCTATGAGTCGGAATCAACTCGACGGCAATGGGTTCTAGAAGCTGAAATAGATAAGGAAGGACCTTCCATGGGAGCCACGCCCTGAAGTTGGGCTTGGAGACCCCTGCACTGTGAGACAGTACACTTCTGCTCTTTAGAACCTCCCGCTTGTGGTATTTCTGTTGTGGCAGCACTAGAAGACAACATCTGAGCCACTCGCCCACCCTTCCCAGGCTCAGTCCCATCACTAACGCCCACTGCCCCCAGCTCGCTGTTCTACAGTCCTGGATCTGACAGTCCTACCCCCGTCCCTATCTGTTTTCAGGTCCCGAAGCCTCCCAGTACCCTCAAACCTCCTTTCATAAGTTAAGGGGCCAGGAGAGCTCAGATGTTCCCATAGAAGCACCCGATGGCAGAGGAGGGGCAATCCGGTTTTGGGGGCCCTTCTTCAATTACACAGTATCCCAGAGACTTCATAGTTTCTCTTAAAAATTCACTCCCATTTTGCAATTCTTGTCTTAAGAGTTTTATGTGCTTTTTAAATTGTGACATGCATCATACGTTCAGACGTGTTCACGATGCAAATGTGTAGTTTAAAGAACAATAACACAGCAATCGCCCAAGCACGCTGCTATCTTAGTTTGGTTGCCCCAGAAGCAGAGCCTGAGACACTGCTTCCAGTTGAGGGGTGACCGTAGGAGACAGGCCGGGCAGCAGAGGAGTGATGGAGGGTGTGGCATCAAGCCGGCTGCCGGCCCAGACCTCAGTTCAGTTGGAGACCCCTGGGGTCTACTGTAGACCATAAGGCTCAGAGTCACCCACCTGTTGGGCAAGGGCGCTGAGTGTCTGAGCAGATTGAGGTGCTCTGGCCCACTGTGTGTATCAGAGGAAGCCATGGGCAAGAGATGGAGCCACAGGCAGTGCCCTGGTCTGCAGGGTGCCGGGTGTGGTCAGGCCCTGGAGGTGTGGGTGAGGCCCCAAGAGCATCTGCTGCACCTGCCACCTTGGCAAGTAGACCATCCCCACTCCCTACGGGCTTCCCCTGTTCCCCGGTTGCTTTTCATTATGGTTTCACCCCACGTGCGTGCATGCTTTTATATAATTTAGTTTTGCTTCTTGCGCTTTATGAAAAAGAAATTGTGTGTCTGTCTTCGTCTGCTACTTTCTCCCTCACTATTCTGTTTTTGACGCT